AGAAATTTGGTTTGCCTCTATAAGAGATGTAGTCACCTTACTTGATTAATATTATGAATGACTGATGGTTGAATTTTCCTACAATTATATGAGTAGGCCTTATGTCTGTATTGAAGTTCTCGTGGTCTTGCTTCTCAAAAAGTATTCTCATCTCTAGTCGACTGCATTGCCGATGCATTGTCTATGCTCTATCCGTCCCTTTCGGAAAGCAAGGCCGCGTAAAATTCACTAGAAACGTAAGGACGTAATTCAACTATCAGTACTTCATGGCTTCAAAGAAATATCGTTAATAAATCTGGTAAATATGATCTCAAAAACCTAATTATTAATGAAAAATTGGCTTGCCCCTGTTGCATCTAATGAAGTTTTGAACTGAGGTCAAGTTCAGCATAGAACAGAAGGTTAGGTGGATCCTTGATTATCTTTTGAACGTGAAGATAAAGTCTATACGAGTCCTAAGCGTCCGCTCCAGCTTCTGCTGGCAAGCTATTGAGACATCCGTTTATATGAATAAGCCTAAGAGATCGTATGCAAGTATGTCTTAAAACTATCAAAAATCCTGGTTAAATAACTCAGTCAGCCTAGGTCGTTTAGTGTGATTTGAGTAGTGCTGGTAGAGGTTTTCCCATATTGCAATGAGTGAGACTCGTGATGCCACAGCAGTTCACTTAGCTTTGCCTCTTAGAAGGATGTCTTACTTAAGATGGACTGCAATTTCAACTTCGCATGGGCCACTTTTTAATATCGTCAAGAGGATTCGAAGCCGGGCATCATTTTACCACTCCGCCACACAATTCCCCGATTAACGTGATTTGTGGGAGAACAGTATGGCTTATCTGTACAATCGCATCTGCTCTGTGACCCACTGATTGCGTTTTTACTAAATATTTCACATAGTGGTGCTCATTTACATTCGAACACTGGTATTTTTAGCATTAAAAGAGGCTGTATGAGCTGCATTAATCGTATTTAGTTTAAAGTTAAATTTTCCCACAATGGTATTGGTGGGGCTGACGTTTCCATTCAATTTCGCATAGCCTTGCTCTCCCAAAAGGAGTTCTATTCCAGTAGAACTGCAATTTCAACATCGTCTAGGTCTTATGAATACCCCCGGCGGGACTCAAACCATGTCAGTGTTGTATGCAATCTCGACACGTTAGTCACTACGCTACATTGCTACGAGTGTCCTTGGGTCAAAGGGAAGATGTGAACTTAAGAGAAGCCCAGACATTTTTCCATATCACATTCTTTAATGGGAGTGTTGATGAAACAATGTTATATTTGCTATAACAATCTACTACATTACTTGTAAACGAAAAAAAGAGTCTGTGCCTGCATATAAACCAGGTAGGATAAAGCAAATCAAATTAAACTGAGTTTTACCGAAACTTTTGTAGAATGAGAGACGTTTCCGCCAGTCGACTCAAGTAGACATGAATACAGGCCAACTTCAGCTTCAGAAATCCTTGTAATCGTCAACTCAGAGCGCAGTCTACGGAATTGTCTCATTCTAGTACTGAAGGACTCGACCCGGTTGGCTGACCGTATGTGTTTTTGTGAATGGGCCTGTTGCATCCGACCAGTGTTCCTCCAGACTCGAGTATCCTCCAGAATCTTAAGGCGTTGATGATGCTCTCGAAGCCCTTGTGTGAGCCCGGTAGAAGACAAGTGGGAAGACGACCCCAAGACATCCCGGACCATGAGTCGGCCAAATTTAATCCTGTTTTCCGGTTGAAAACCGTCATGTCGAACAGACGCTTCTGCAGTTACCGGCGTCCTTTCCTTGTCTACAACCCTCAGTCCGTCTAGTGGCTGAATGCCGTCGTGGTCAAGTATCTCAGTTTCTGCTGCTGCCGCCGGGGAAGGATGAAAGTGGGCCGTGGTTCGAGAAATCACACGAGAACGAGCATGAGTCCAAACAATTCGAGGAATAGAGTTACCCTCGAGTGTGGCCTCGGACGCTTTGTAGCCGGCAACGGGCAGGCTGGTAGTGTTGCTGGGGTAGTGGTGTGATGAATGGAGAGAGGAAATAAAGTCTTCTCTTGTCGTCAAGGCCACAGCAGCCTTGTCAAGCTCCACAGTGCAGGCGAGACGAAAGGAACTGTGTAAACTCACGACTAACTGAGCTGGGGGATGTCGGATGAGACGTGTTGGGCCTGGATCAAGGAACAATTGGGTTAGGGATTGAGGGAAGACGTTGTCAGCCTTGATATATTCACTTAACATGCGAAGAACAGTTGGGTTTAGAGGATTCTCTTCTTTCATAATTGTTGAGCTTACTTCCAATTCAAGTAAAAGTGTTTGGTAAAGAGATTCGAACGTCGATTCTACCAGAGACGAGTTTTCTTAACTCGTTAGCTTTTATTTTAATGTAGTGATGATAACTTGCTCTGATGATGCTCGTCATATCACAGACGAAAGCTTAGCACCTTTTCACCGGAACTGAAGGAGATTACCTCGGAAACAGAGTCAACATGAATGTTCCAGTAAAACCAATTGACAGCTGATCAAGAGGAATCCACCGTCGCCTCCTGGTGGAATCGACATTCGAATCTCTTTACTCGAAATGGAAGTAAGCTCAGCAATATTCAATTAACTTGGGTACAGGCAGACATTTTTGCCTTTATGTGTGTATGCGTCTACATGTACATTTATATGAGGTGTATTCATCCTATTTCGGTTAAAGTGATTAGGGTACGGGTATTTGAACTTTTCCACAATGATATGGGTAGGCCTTACGTTTCCATTTTATTTCACACAGCTTCGCCTCTCCTAAATGTATTCTCATTCAGAGTGGACTGGATGGACCTGACCTAAGACTGTTCAACACCCCTAGGGGGACTAGAACCGTAATAAGGCAACGTATAATCTCTAACTTTAACCCATACACTACAAAACATATGTGAATTTCAAGCAAGGTCAGGCACTTTTCCATATCAGATTCTATTGTGGGATTGTCGATGAAGCAAAGTTATATTTACCATCGCAATCGAATGAATTACTTATATTTCGTTTTTAAGTAGGGTTTCGAGATTACCAGTAGATCATTTATGTGAGATTTGTTCCTCCTACCT